CTGTTGGTACAAAGAAAATTGATTATGTATGTAATATATTTCACCAAAACAACCCCGGCAGCCCCGCTTTATATGTGCTGCCCGATCTCTCCATCTCTCTGCTCTGAATATGAGATGCTTTTGCTAGAAATGAGCCCTGGAAAAAGCAAGCGCTCGGAGCTGCTCACAGGCGCTAGAGGCACAATTGGACTTGACGGACGACTACTGCAGATGCCTCCAGCGCAAAAAAAATTAAAGCTTGACAGTCTCATTTTAGACAATGCTCTATTTCTTCCTATACAGTCTCAATATCTATATTGGCTGGCATTGGCTAGAGCTTAGTTTCCTGTTGTTACCAATACAAGGATCTGTTCAGCCCGAGGCGCCAACAGACCAGCGGCCTGCACCGTATAGCTGTCTCGTTCTCGCCAGGACAAAATAATAGTTTCATCTCTGCCGCGATGGAGAGGTGCAAAGTTATCAGAGTGTGATATTACATAAACTAATGCTGCACGAGAGATGTTGCCAAGGCTTGAACACACATTTTATAGATGTGATTTTGAAAATTGAAAGAAATGAGCCTTACAGTAAACTTGCCTTGTCTAGTTATCAAGTCATCGATCAGGCAAAGCAGTTACTGATGTACTTTCATTGGCCTCTGCAATAAAACACATGTGTCAGTTTGCTGTACATGTTTTAATTAGCTGCTGGCAGTGTTGCCCCGTTACACCTCCTCCTGGTAAAAGGATGGAAGTTACTTCTGTTTTTTACAGGTTTTATGCCACTTAGCACAGCTTTTAATTGCAGTCGTGTTTCATCTGAAAAAGGAACAGACTGTAATTGGATGATTAATAAACTTTTGGAACTGTAGAAGATTCATATAGTTTTATATTGGAGATACACTTTTAGACTAATGCGTCTTTTAGCACTTGATTCTTTGCTTCAGTAAATGTTAATTATTCTTCTCATAAATAAACATATTTTGGTCGTTAAGGGTTCTACTTTCTCCTGGACAATGTGTAATATCTGCTTCCTCTAAAACTGCCAATCTTCTTTGCCTCAAGTTTGTGGCATTTCATCAAATGTCATAGTATCTTATTGTTGGAATTCCAATATATTGTAATGCAAATCAACACGGCATATGTAAGAAGACTTTTTTGTTCCTCCAACGTTGTGAACTGTTGGCTAAAGAATGACATATTTTTAAAGCAACTTGTCCTAATTTGTGCTCATTGGAAACCCAGATATTATGCTGGGAACCTAAATAGCACTTCTGACCTCTCTTGTTTGTCTATGTCTAACTGCACAATAAGCATTTGTTATGTAGTTGCAGGTCAAAGTTTAAACTCTTTGCTATTCATTCAAACAGAAAAGAGGGTTGTTTTAATCCATTCAGTAACAAGCCATTTATCTTTTTATGAACTTTGACCATTGCACATCTATATCCAGACATTATCATAAGCACATTTTGAGGACTGTTTTTGCATACAATTACTCCAGCCTATTGCTTGCTTATGTTTACATGCTTTGGATAAGAAATAAAACATTGTTCTTACATGTAGTACAGAACATCACTCAGACAATGTACCCAAAAACATGTTTCATTAAAACTATATTTTTCTTAGCGGCAATAAGTAACTAATGCAAACGTTTTTTTCAGTTGAAGTATCACTGATGTTTGGAGCAACTATGTAAACTGTATGCCCAAGGAGCAAAATCCTTCCAAAATGTGAAATGGCTGCCGAGTTCCTTTTGGCTGTAGTCTCTGTTGAAGTGTCACATTTCGGTCAAGACCTGGTGTTCTTGACCCCAACACGGATGCTCTGTGCTCCAGTGTCAGACATTGCTCCACAAACTCATGATGGATTAAACCTGGGGCAGCGTCTCTGGGCTGCTAACAGGGCGACTGAGACTTTCCTTGTCAAAGAAAAGTGTGTGACCCAAAAAGAACTAGCTGCTGCAAAAGTGAATTTGTATTAAAAATATATATATTTGGAGTCATTATAGTGTTTTTATTACTTCCATTGGGTGCATTATACAGTAAGTGACGTATATTAAGTTTTATTATTGTGCTGTTTGTTTTAAAAATGAAACTAGACATTTCTTATGTGATCTACTGCTCACATATTTCAGATATTCACTGATCTTTGTACATTTTGAGTGAATTTCACATAATGTTGGTGTGGTGGTCGGCCCACATGTTTGAAACGTGCACATCTCCAAATCACTTGAACACTTACACCTCCACGATGTAAACAATCGTGGAGGTGTGGACTGGAAAAGGGAACAGAGGTTTAGACACGACCCGCTGGCTCCAGGGTCTCAGTGCCACCTCCCCGGCCTCTCCGACAGCACAGCATCAGTCTATGGAAGGTATACTATATGCCTGGGACAGACGGAGCGCAGTATAAATGTCTCAAATGGGTCAAAGCCTGAATATGATTAGAACCTCCTCCTCCTCTGTACACCTACTAAGAGGGACACGCAGCAGTGATGGATTCATGTGGCTCAGAGGCAGCTATTTCAGTGGTGCTCTCCAGAGACAAAAGCAGGACCCTGGAGAATATCAATATGTGTAATGGGAGCTAAAGAAACTTTACTGCCATGAGAATCCCTCCTCAGCGTTGAGCAAAAATATTACAAACGCCTCACTATCTCCCCTACTTTGTTCAAATGCACTTTTTACTGTGCTCACTACTCCCCCTACTTCACTTGAATTCTTCACTACACCTGAGTAGGCTCTAATCGGTATCAGCCGTCACCTGCTGCATTTATACAGTAACCTACAGCTCTGCACCATACTTTCAGCTCGTTATCACAACCCTCCTCCTCCCCATCAACTTTACTTTGTTTCACAGTGTTACTTCAGAAGAGGTAATCATTCCAAGATACACTGTCTGCTTGAATTCTTTGTATATTCAGTATTTTTAACAACAACCAGCTCACTCTGAATTACATACAGTAGACCTAGATCACTGTGCAGTTTATTATTGCATACAAAGAGTCACATGGCCCACTTTCATGGCCAGTGTGGTCTCACAGGAGACCAGACTCTGCTCTCTCTCCGTCCACTTAGTGCTGCCCTCAGGTCCAGTTACAGGGTCACTCTCTCCTGGTATTCGCATCATACAGAGGTTGTGTTTTCAGGGGCAAAACTATTAACCTCACTCATTGTGCTGGCACGTTATTAGTGGTGCTCTTACCTGGTATTTGTAATAAGTAGCTATTTATATCTCTAAAACTGTATTTTTGTGGTTGTGGATCCAACATCTTGTAAGAAAATCCACAAGAAAAACTATCCTACATTATTAATAATAATGATAATGCATCGGTTTTATATAGCACTTTTTTGGACACTCAAAGACGCTTTACATGTCATTATTCTTTCACTCCATACATGGTGGGGATAAACTACTACTGTAGCCACAGCTGCCTTGGGGCACACTGACAGAAGCGACACAGCCAGTATGTGCCTTCGGCCCCTCCAACCACCACCAACCATTCACACACACACCAGACTCATTCTAGGCAATGTGGGTGAAGTGTCTTGCCTAAGTACACAATGGCAGTTTGGCACTTTACAGCCGCAGCCGCCCCACTGTGGCTGGTGTTCCAAGGACACAACGACAGCAGACATCAGAGGGAGTTGGTGGAGATGGTGGGCTCGAACCCACGACCTTCAGGCTCTACCAAGTGAGCTACTTTCGCCTCAATTAAGTATTTCTATTATTGAAGAGGAAAAGGAGCATTATTTGTGTAGATGGAATCAAAAACTGGACTTGGCATCAAAAGTTTAATGCCCTCTGTGGCGTCCTCTGCATTATTCCTTTAGGTTGTAATTGTGTGCTCCTCTGGACACACAGCAACATTTGTATTCGTATTCTATATTAAAGATAGTTTAGCACACAGGTAATCAAAACCTTTTAGTAGTGAGAGGCCCACCTATAGTTCGCCAGACTTGTCCAGGGCCCAATGACACGGTTTGTACACTGTCAATATTGATTCACGTTTGCCAGAGCTGAAGATAATTGGATGACAATTAAATTATCTTGCTACATTAACACCTTATTGAAGTTTATGATCTCTATGGCTTCTTTAGGTTTGTAATGCAGAGGGCCATAGAAAATGACACTAGGGCCGTGATTGGCTCGCTGGTCAGACTTTGAGCATGCCTGGTCAAGTCCTTTTTTCTTTTGTTCAGCCCTACAGGTTTGGTGTAGGTGTGAGGGTACACATATTTTGAGTTGGCTGTATTTGGGAGGAAAAGTATTTTCTTCAAGTGGTACTTTATGTGAAAAGTTTATGAAGCGCTGACACAAAAGTAAAATGTCTTTGGTGAACGTTTTAATGTGGTAATTTAAATACAGTGAAAGTCTTTCGCACACTCAGAAAAAAGTTGCTTGACTCTATTCTGTCTTGTATAAACTAAAGATGCCCCATGCCTTGAATCAGTTTGGAGTCATCAGATGTGATGACACTTTGAGGCCGCACTGGGGAAGCTTGGCCTCAACAGCCCCTCATGTTTAGTTTAAGAGGGCCTAGCCATGGCCCACTTTCCCCAGAGTCTCAAATGCATCTGGAAGTTGAGAGCGTCAGATATGAAGCTATCAGTATGCTGCGAGCTGATGTTGTCCGTATCCGCTGCGATGGAACGAGAGACATGAATTTTGCAAAAGGACACTGTTTACAGGCTGCACATCGGCACATATGGATGAGTGCTGATAAACACAAAGTATTGGTGTTACATGGCCAGGTGTGGCAGACACTTGATATCCTGGAGCAGGCCAAGTTGTATTGTCATAAAATTGGGCACAGTGGGGATTTTGAAGCGGGGATCCAATTTGTTCACATAGACCTGTAGAGCGTTTCATTTCAGTGGCGCGTGCTTGCTGCTGACACAAACAAAGACGGCACCAGCAAAGCCTCAGCTATCCCTGCTTTGAAAATGTGATGTGTTCTCATGGATTTATCAGCCTTCAGGTGTCTAATATTTTCATTTTGTACTTTCCTGTCTCTTGCAGTCCGTCCCAAAGCCCATCGCGCTGGAGCCGTGCTTTGGAAACAAGGCGGCGGTGCTTTCCATCTTTGTGCGGTTACCGAGAGGCACCGGCGGCATCCCTCCACCGGGACAGTCGGGTAAGGATTGATTATTGGATCAAATCAAGAGGAAGGTAGTGCCCGATTTCCTCACGGTTTTTTACTTGAAGAAAATGAGTCAATAAAATAGTCTTATGGAACTAATATATAGAACTTTCCTGTCATATTGAATCAGAAATCACACTGAATCACACTTTACACCATTTGATGATTTTGTTCAGCTCTGACACATCTTATCTCTCAGTTTTATCTCTTATCTCAGTTTTCATTGGCAGAAATCCTCAATGATGAAGGGATCCATTCTCCTTCTGTCTGCCTTATGTCTTTTTATTTCCCGTCACAGGCAGTGTTACCATTGAGTATTCAAACCATTACTCGTCTCACGCACGGCTCTGTCACTTGCTGTTTGAAATTCCCATTCATCTCTCATCTTCTACCCTCTTGTTTCTCTCCAAAGCAGTCATGACTGAGCACCTCGCCTGTCTCAAACTTTCAGATTCTGCTTTAAAAATCCATACTGCGTGCGTGTCTGCCGTTTCATATGCTCTTAGCCCCCCACAGTTGCCGTCCCAGACCAGGACGACGCCTCGAGCCTATTAATCCACACAGATCATTGGACAAAACATTTATTCCTTCATTTTGTTTGATGCTTTCCTCCTCAGGGGCCGTAAGTGGCTTTTTAGATTTAGATATTTAACTCTCTTAACAGTGCTGAGCTGGATTGGCAGCCATTATAACAGCCAACATCTGATACTGCCATAGTTTAATAAGAAGCTAGAATGGGCCTGCAATATTATGATTATAACAGCATTGAATCCAACCAACTATTGAACCATTGTTCTCCTTGTTCAGCTGCAAGAAAGCTAACCAGTCACATAATGTGTGTAACAATACAATAACTAAGACAAACTGGATGGACTAAAAAACATCCTGTGTCAATGTAGTTGTTGACTACTGCAATAATGGTGGGAGGGAGGAAAACACTGTCAAAATAATGATTTCAGCTTCACTGGAATTCATTACAAGGAAACTGTGTATTCATACGTGAAATGTAAATAAATAGATAACAAGTCCGCCAACTTCTCTCTGCTCCTGTCCAATGTAAATCCTGACTGTCTTTATAAATTAATTGGTCAACTAAGGCAAAATAACAGTTGGAATACTATAGATATCCCTTCAACTTGAACCCTCATTAATGGAAATGGTGCGAGACACAAAGGAAGTTTTGGTTAAATGTTGGTGAATCCTGCTTCATATGTGGGTTGTCTTACTGTCAGGCGGTAGAAGAACCTTCACATACAACTCTTTATTCCCTTTGTTACATTGACCCTGTTGGTGACCACGTTCAGAACTGTACAATCACACTTTAAATCCCTGCTTAAACACCTTTTCTCTTTGGCTGTCAACACCGTGTAGCAAGACGGTGTAACAACTTTCAGTGTTGTATTTGTGTACATATGCATATTTATTGTATTTGTATTGTTATTTTTCACTTGTCTGTACAGCACTTTGGCTGAGGCTGATTTGAAATATGCATTACAAATTATATATTGGTTGGATTTCAGTTGCTGTTAGAGCACAGCATCATTAGAAAACATATATCTTTTTACATACTGAGACTTGATTGGCTTAGTGACGGCAGTAAGATGTGACGGAGCACAAAAATACATGCTTGAGATTGAGCCAAACCATTTTGAGATATTGTAACTGATCACATGGATGTAATTTGATCTGATTTCAAAGTCGTGTAGTCCAGCTTTAAAACGGAGCCTGCCTCTAAACATATGCAGTTGAAGAAGCCCACCGCAGCTGCCATATTAGTGAATACAAGACATGAGCAGCCGTTTCCCTTGAGGTTCCTATTTGCCGTGGGCTATGTCCTCCTGATTGGTCTAAGTGCATCCATCATTGGTAATAAATGGAGTTTATTGGAATTTCATGCCTCACAGAGTATTAATAAATGTTAATGAAGTGTGACGGGAGTTAATGATTGGCTTCTGTATGTGCGCGTGATCCCCGCTCTCCTGCCCGTGCCGAGCCCTTACACTTCCCCCTTTCAAATATCAGCATTTCCATAATTCAGGCATTTTTTTACACACACCTGCTGAGGAAAGATAGTATTTATGATCGTTTATCCTCCGTTTGTGTGAAATACAAAACTTAATTTACATAAAGTTATACTATGACTCGGCGCTAGCGTTTAAATCGCGGCGCTATATTTTATTTTACACCTGATTTAATATAAGTAAGATTTTCCTGTGAGCCATTTGGTCCATCTGAATGTAGGAGGATACAAATGTGCTTTATAACTGCAATTTCATCAAGTGTGGGATTATCTATAGATATTGTGGGTGGTGAAATCTAAAATGAGTTATATAACACTATAGAAAAGTGAACTACGTCAAGTAAAAGTTTAGTCGAGTGTTAAATAGTTTGTAAAAGGCTGTTCGTCTTCTATAAAAAACATATTTGAGAATGGATGCTGTGACATGGGTAATTAGTGAAAGGCCCCAAGGTAAATGTGTTCAACTAAAGTTCATCCATAATTAAACAGCTTTAATAAATGGACAAGCATACACAATTACTCTGTCCATTGCCGAAGGGTTTGAACGAACGCACATTTTACCATCTCCCAAAGCCACGCTGCATTTTTATCCCAAAAATTACCCAAATGATTTTTTGGATTTTCAACGCTTTTTTTCTCTCTAAGGAAAGGATTAAAACATGCCATCTTTGTCGGCTTGCATGTCTATAACCCTGAATTCAAACATGCATGGATCCCTCTAAAACATTGTTGAATTTGTAAAGGACCTGGGGAAATGTTACTAAAAGCACTTAAAGCTGGGGTACCCAACTTTCAAACCTCAAACAATTCAAGTGTGTTTAGAATTAATCTAACCTTATCTCAAAATAGTTTGGTTTTATCACATGAATGCATTTTGGCCTCTGTCACTTATTTAGATACATTTTTTATTATCTTATCTATTTGACCAGGAAAAATCCTATTGAGATTAAGAACCTCTTTTTCAAGGGAGTCCTGGCCAAGAGGCAGCAAAGTTACAAACACAAAAACATATAAAATTACATTAAAATTACATAACATTTATTTGACACAAAAAGCCCAAAGCATTAAATAGTTTCACACTGGGCTCCTCCTTACAAAATGCTAATGATATCTATAAAGTTACAGATAAACTGTGCTCCATTTCTTTAAAAAAACCATAACCGCAGCTACTAATCTGCAACATAAATAGACCTGCAGTGCATGATGGGTGCTGAGCAAATAATGGACAGTGAGATAGACCTAATGGCCAAAGCATCACCTTTTTATATTTGTTCCATCTTTTCCCTAAATATTGTTTTTAAGACTGCATGGCATGGTCTTATTATACTTTTACAATTCCCTTTCTGTTGTTACACACGTTGTATCGTCTGTGCAGGTTTGGCGGTGGCGAGCGCCCTCGTGGATGTCTCACAGCAGATGTGTGTCGGCTACAAGGAGAAGTCCGGAGGTCTGAGGAGCCGCAAACAGCAGCCCACCGCTCAGCCCGCCACCTGCATCTGACCACGCTCCATCGCCACGGCAGCAGCCCCGAATCAACCAATCACCACGCCCCGTATGCCCCCACCCTTCCTACCACCAACACCTCAGCCCCGCGGTGCAGTGCATGCAGGGACACTGGAGTGGAACTTTTTCTCGGGACTGAAACGGATACGGGGGCAGAGGTGTGTCGAAAGGAACCGGTGCTCTGTAAACTGGACGCTAGGGGGCAGCGTGGGGCCGGGAGGGAGGCACGCTTCCTCCTTAAAAACACTGATATTTGACATTTGTCCGAGGCCGCCTCCTGGAGCTGCGGCGTTCACGGCTTGCTGCTAGAAAAAATATCCTTGTTTCATAGTTTTTAAAAATGACTTTACAAATGCGATTTTTGTTTCATTTGACTTAAATTATTGTTTTTTTTATTATTTTGTTTGTTGATGGCAGGTATAACTGATTATGTGAAGCTACACACACACACACACACACACACACACACACACACACACACAGAGTTTAATAGATCTGAAGTCAATTTCTCATTTATTTTCTTCAATGACACATCATTTTTTTCATCAAAAGAAAATAAGAATTGACCTCCAGAACCACATCCAGGGGTTTCACGGCAATATCTTTAACTATGAAAGCCAAAACCAATGAATATGATCTAGACTTTTTTTTTTTACTCTCGGTTTAATGAACTTGAATGGATTTTGCTTTACTGATCTTTTAAATACGAAGAGCAGATGTGTCATTGGAGAAAAGTCATGTCAAAGTGACTTTCTCCTGTTTCTTCCCGTGTCAAACTCAGTCCCATTTGTCGCCTATCGTTGGCAGTAAAGTCCTGCACAGTTTGGCCTCGGAGCGCGCTAACAGGCTACGTTGCGCGCTACGGTCTTCCTTTAATGAGGTCTACTGTAGGAGGCCACGGCCCGTCTGAACACACTGACATTTCTAATAGGTCTTTCTGTACTCTCGTCGCCTCTCTCCTCCTCCTCCTCCTCCTCCACTGCTTTCTCCTCTGCCTCAGCTGAAGCTCGGGCCAACACTACATCTCCTGCAGTGTGTGAGCTGGAGCCCGGCCCGCGCTTGAATCTACTCCAGACAATTAGTGCTCTGCTGGGACGGAGGGCAGGAGGCACGTTTACAGGGCCACGGAGAAACAGGTGGGGTTTAGAATTGAAGCTGGACTCGCACTAATGGAATTTCTCACATCGCTACACTGAGATTGCCGTTACTTTAGTCATGAAAAGTTCACTTAGTTTCAACTGCGAAAATGTACACCAGATCTGAAAGCTATTTTTTTTGCTCCAAATTCAACACTGGATTATTTTAAACATTTTTTTTTGTTTTTAAATATTTTACCCCTTTCAGACATTTGATGGGAAATGTCAAAAGGTGAAGCCCTGAAATTTTATGAGAGATAGGACTACTAAAATCAATTACAGATATCTTTTTTTTTTTAATTGGGGGAAAAATTAAGGAAATGTTTGTGGAAAGTGTCTTGATTTCAGGAGGTCATGTAGCGACTCTGCTACTTTGGCTTAAAGGGTTAAAAAAATAACTTTGGCTATATTCTTGACTCTTAGAATAAAATCTGCCTCTGGAACAAGCAGGCTCATTTTAATTAAGTGAGACAAATAGGTTTTGTTTAAAATGATTTTTTCTCTCATCGTATATTGGGACAAATATTCTGTTAATACTACTTACTTCATGCACTTACCAGAGTCCAGCCTCCCGTCTGCCGTTCACATACATTAGCATTGATTGAATTAGAAACCTTATCTGACACAAGACAGATAAATTATACACAACTGGAACTTCAACAATCGCTAACTAGCTCTTTTCAAATGTGATGACAACGTACAAAAACTTGTAATTGAATTGTGGTAATGTTTGGTTTTATGTAATTACTGGAAATATTTTGATTCTATATATATTTAATTGTTTTAGACATTTAATTATACTACTTTTCCAGGCCCTCACTGTCTAACTACGCTCCTGACCAGTGACAACGCACATCTAAAATTCCAAAAATGCTGCCTTGAGTGCTGAATGCTGACAATATGGACCAGGACAGACGCAATTTTACACTATTCCAGCATCGTTTTTAACAATTTTTTTGCATTTTATTTAACAATTCAATGAAAGCGCCTCATGCAAAGCGCAAGTCTAATTGCATAGGCCCGTCAAGGGAAATCCTTGCTGTATAACGATCGACCCCCTTGGCAGAGTGGCCGCCCCTCTCCTCGTGTTTCCAAGTGTCTACAGAACATTCAATTGACTCCAGTGATCACTCAGAGACGTGCGCAAGTCGCTCCGTTAGATCCGTTAGACCTCTTCTCCTCCGATCGTTGGCTAACTAATCTATAGCCTCTAATTGCTGCTCCGTGCCCCGAACACTCCCCTTCCTCACCCCCAGCGCCGTTTCCACCGCCAGATCGCTCAGTGTCCCCACGAGCGAGGGACAGCTACCCAATTAGCCGCAGAGAAAGTGGCATTTAGGCTCAATATTGTGAGATGTGTGAATGTAATGGATCTGGACTCTTTTGAGCGTGGCTGCTTCTCCGCTTAATGGATTATTCTGACTTTTTACCAGTGGTTGTTCCTTATCGGTCACTGCACGGCAAACACGAGAGGTCTTGTGTCGATATATACATTCTGATGAAACGTTCTCGTAATACAGCCACGAAGGGCAGCAGATCAGCATTTTTTAATACCTGTATGATGCAAATGCGAGTCCAGGAAGTCCATGGGAGAGAAAAAAATGTAGGGGGGCGGAAAAGTTTTAGAAAGAGGGTCACTAAAATTGCACCATAGCTACATTAGCGCCATATATAGTATTTTGTGACAGAATCAATCGCAAATGCCAAAACCAATACCACCCGTTGAGTCATAATGATGTATCTTGTTGTAAAGGTTCTTAGTTTTGCAACAAGATTCAACACGACTCAACAAATGTATAAATCCTTTTAGATATTTGGGGTTTTTTTTGTCTTGGGTAACGCAACAATGTCCAGGATACATCACAAAAGCATTCTCACTTTTCACTAATAGCTTCTGTCCCGTCACTATAAAGATTGTCTCTCCAACTACTGCATGGGAAATATTTAGCAATTTTGGAATTATACACCAAAAAAACATTTATTCTGCAAAACAAAACAAGCCTGGAAAGTGAAAATCCCCCGGTGTTGTTAAGTTGGCTCATGAGGTGCAGTAATCATGCTTTTTGAAGCCGCTTTTTTTCTCCTAAAGAGGCGCGTTTAGGCGGAGGGCTCTCGTGTGTTTAGCCCAAGCGGAACTACTGTACGCCTGGGAAATGGCACTGTTTTAGAAGCGAGAAAAGGTCAGAGCCAAAAGCATGAACATGGCGGACGTACAATAATTATAGAGGGCCGAGGTGCACACGGCTCCACAGAACAAGCCGTTCAGACTTTATGCAGAGCTTTGGGATTACTGGAGTGGAAGGATTACTATTTGTTTGGATCAACACTGGGAAACTGCTTTATTGACACTAAGGTCTATGCAAAAAGACTGTTTATAACAATGGAATTTAAATCCTAAGACGTTAGTGTTTAAAGCTGAGTTACCTTACTTCAAAACACACATCTTTAGATCAGTTTTTTTCCGGCTAGAAAACTATAAAAGTACTGTAGCAATATAGTGGCTCTTTTTACAAGTATGGACTGATTTGATTACTTTTACTCAGATAGCTATTTAACCCTTGTGCTATCCTCTTGGCAAAATAACCACCGCCACAGTGATTTAATACTTCTTTTAGCAGAATTGTTTTGATTTTCCCTAACTTGACCAGCCCTGGGTCATTTAGACACAATGGGTAAAAAAAAAGAAGAAAGTTGGCTCACTCCAGCTTTAATCATTTGTGTTATTATTGCTAGTAATGATTGTCTGAATTGTCAACAAATCAAATAATTGTTGACTATTGGACTACTAAATTTGGCAGTGACAGCCTTGACTAATATGCATGTGAAATTGACTCATAAGACTTTTGAATATTTTATCCAAACAGAAAATTGATTTACTTTACTCAGGTTTTCCTTTGCTGCATTTCCTGCCTCAGATGGACCCACAGTAGTCTGTTCAGGTCTTGGCTGTCTCACGGTGTTGTTGACCCAGGAGCAGTTTGAGTCCGATCCTAAAGTCTGCCATGAGGGGAAGTGCTGACGCAGGCTGCAGTGTTTAAAAAGGCTTCTCGCCGTAGATAAAATCCTTCCTCCTCAGCAGCTTCCTCTGCTTTAACAGGCTTTGATGCAGTCCACAACACATCTGGACCTCGGCTCACAATGTGTGGACAGGGACCGGGCTAGGATGAGAATGCCTCATTAAGTCCACAATTCGTCGGCACTTTTAAAACCGTTAAAATACAAGTTGGAGTTAGAATTTGGGAGGAAAGAGGGCATTTTCTACGCAAACGCTTAAAGATGTGTAAAACTTAACTTTACATTTTAATATATACTGTATTTTTAACCTTGTCACTATTACAGTTGTGCACACACTTGTGACTTAAAGGTGCCGCCTACTTATTATTTTGAGTTTATTTTTATTGTGGAAAGTTAAAGCTGGGGTACAATTTTTCTCATAAATATTAACGTTTTTTTCGGGCGGAAAGACTTCGAACCGACATCTTATTGAGAACTATCTTTTTCACACTTGAGCTCAAAGCTGATTGGCTGAGGGAGGTTGGCTCTCTCACTTGAAAAAGCTGATCCACAGATATGGCAGTGATGGAACCAAACTGTTTTAGAGTCAGGATCTAAAGTCTCATGGATCTTATGACATTGTTCCAATTTGATGTTGCTTGAAAGTTAGGTACCGCAGCTTTAAGGGGTCCATTATTCAAGAAGATTAGTTTATCATTATTAGTAGTAGAGTTTTATTTCGGTCAGTCAAATTGTCAGTTACAGAATACATTTCAGTAGAAGAAGCATTGACATTAATTCACTGACTGAAATGGTTTTGTCTGAAGTGAATCACGTATTTAAAGCCAAACCCTCTTTAGAAAAATA